GCTAGGTTTATCGGGTTTCCTTGTTCTTATATTTTTCGGCTCCTGAAAGTGCTTGTTTTTTTTGTTTTGTGACTGTAAACTTCAGAAAACACTCGGACTTCTTTATTTTGTGATTGTAAACCTTCGGAAAGCACTCGGACTTCTTTATTTTGTGATTATGCACCTGCAGATACTACAACAATAAATAAATATTCCTTGATGTTAATTGTAACAACAAATTTAATAATTAAACAATTATGAATACGTGTAGCAAGAATTCACATTAAGCCTATGTTATTATACATATATATAAAAAGAAAACTCGTTAACTTTTTTAAAAAAGAAAATGAGATCTGTATAAAAAAGGTAGCAAAGCAAAGTATATACAAAAAAGTGGTCTCACAAGGAAATATTGGAAATTAGTTTTTGATTATGGTGAATTTTCAATCTCAGAAAAAGCCTGAATAAAGATAAACAGATATAGCGTTAACGTAGAGCGCAAGCTTTTGAAGGTCATGCAATTAAACTTCCATCTGGAACATTTTATTAGTTTTTACCAGTATTATTTCAAAACCACAATTTTTGTTTTCGTAAATCTCTACAGACTGTTGTTGTTTGATTCAAATTTGTTTATCATTGTAGATTTGTAAACATGACTACGTTTTGGGTAACTCTAGAACTATCGATCTCCTGAGGGGGGGGGGATAGGTACACGGCTTTTTAAGCACATTTTTCTGAACTAGGTACACCAAATTGCTTGTGATTACCTTTCGATTACGTGCTACCCTACTTCACAACAACATATGGATCACAAGGAAAATTATAAATAAAATTACCACCAATATTACAATTAATTCTGTTAATTACTAGTGAGGTTTCGCCATGTATTTCACATAAAAAAAATAGTAAAATTGTCCACACTAAATGTTGTGGCAGGCATGAAAATAAAAGTTACTAAATATGATACATGTGTGAGCAAACACAACTCGGTAATTCGAGAGTTAAGCCTAGTTTTTAGGCCTACTTCGAAATGAGTACACACACGTAATAGGTCTTACTTAATCTTTTGGTATGACTTTGCATAAATGGAAAGAATGATGACCTCCAAGTCATGGTGAGGGTGTGTTTGTGTGAAACTAAAGCTGGTTCAGCGGTAAGCTTCAGTGCATATAACACTAAAAATCACGGTTCGATATCTGTGCTGGCCACAGCTTAGGTAGCCGGTTGCGCTTAAACACAAATAAAAAATATATCCTCGTTTTAATTTAGGTTAGAAATTAGAAACATGGTTGTAACCTGTTTACGAGCAACCTACCATGGTCTA